TAGGATTCAAGTTTTGCAGCCAAAATAGTTCAAGTTAGAAAACAGAATTGCTGTAATTTAGTTTAGCATTCTGCCTTTAAGCTGATTCATTTAGTAAACTACTACAACACGAACCCTCAAAACATCAGTTAAAATACTTCCTAGAGTTGGCTTTATACTTTCTTTAAAGTATTTGGGAAAAAGTCCATCTACCAAGAAAGCTGTTAGATGGATTAACTAAATTTTTCTTATTTATATTTCATTTACATTTGTAGTCATTCAATTTTTATGCTAGATGTATTTCTGACTCCAAAGTTATGTTGCAACCAATTCGTTAAGGCTTAATAATTATGATTGTAAACGCTCCACAAGTTAAAATGCGATTTAAAACCACAAATTTTTACTAGATATTGCTTGTCTTCTTATCTGTAGACAGTATAAAACATGGATGTAGCTCCTCAGTTCAGAACAGCCACAAACCTGCTGATGGCAATAGCTGTGGTTGTAAAAACACTATTAGTCTGTTGGAAAACAGCTGTCAGTCTTGACATCTAAAACACTTTTCTGCTAAGTTCATGAGCCCAGTCACTCGTTTCAGGACATAATGAAAAGAAAAATTGTCTTTGTTGTAAATCTTGGCCATAGTATGTTGCAAAACGGATGATTACCTGTGCATCGAGCAAAGCAGCAAAGAATGAGTTTATTCTAATCTCGTGTTTCTATGTTTTTGCTGTTGTTATATTATTACCAGGGGTGGGAATCGAGAATCAGTTTAAGTAGGTTCAGAGGTGTCCAACCATCAAAATCTTCTGCCTCCAAGCTTATCAGGCCCAGGCATGTTTTTCTGCCAGTTGCATTGATTCATTGATTAAGCCACAGAGTGTACAAAAAAGGTGCTTTCAGCCAGTAATGACGCAACCTATATGGACAAACATACTGGGGCACCTACACATTTCACCTGCTGGAGCTGCTCCGTCATTGAAACCCATGTAATGAAGTTCCCAACACACAGTTTTGGTGCTGATGTTAAAGATTATATTAAGGCTGACCCTCTTGTCTCTATTTTCTGTTTGAACTCTAGAATCTGGTTAGATTTTAGTTCTTGCTACTCTTCTAATCCATTGCCCCGTAATTTTTTTTCTAGATTACTTTATATTTGATTCCCTGCATTTTAGTTCAAATTAACCTTCCTGGTGTCATCTCATACATCGCTGTCAAGTGTTTGTCTCTGTTATGCAGTTACTCTCAGTTCTACTGGTCCTCTTGAGTCATTACTTTCATTTCCTTCAATATTGCCAGAATTAGTTTCAGCTGTGTCTTGTTACCCCGATGTTTCCAGTCTCCCCGATTACCTCCAATATTTAATTAAAGCCCCCGTTTTTCTTTGAATCTAGAATCGTAAGGCGTTCTTGTCCATCCATCTTTGTGCGTGGGAAATGAAATAACATAAATTCTGTGGTCCTTTTATTTATTTATTTTTTTCTACTTTGTTTTGTTTTTTGTTTATGAAGTCTGCATTCGGGTCTACAACCTGCAAACCTTGACAACGTGATCTGCCACTTTGTGGCTCAGTTGTTGTGCTTCCTAAACACTCCAAGAATATCTCTTACAGCTGATTGTGAAACATCAAATCTCTAGAAAGAAATTGTTGTTGCAACGTTGGCCTCCTACCACAGCACCATACTCAAATTCAGTGGGCTCTCTAGAAAAATACATTCTTTCACAATGTTTATAGAGGCAGACTTCATGGCTATGTACTTGATTTCATACACCTGTGATAATGGGACTGAAAACACCTGAATTCAAAGATTAGGTGATGTTAGCCAGATACTTTCCCCCCACATAATGCAGCTTAAACCTGTATTCTTTCTTATAGCTAGCAGTGGGGGACTTGTACAGCTTTACTTGATCTATAACCTCAGTAACACTCCCCCGATAAGTCAATGGTCTCGTCACCAGTTTTAAGTCTTCTTCTTTAATGTATTAAACATTTTTGTCCTATTTATTGAAAAACAACCAAACAGGCTGTGCCTATCTAGTGATGTCATAGTGCCATATCAGTCTTTTATATACAGTCTTTGGCGTGGGTCTTCTTTTCATTCTACAAAGAACATTTATCAGGAATCAATAGTTGAGTTGACCTGTATGCAGAATCGATGAAAACACTAATAATCACTAATGCTCATCTCTTTATTCCCACACAGCAAATAATAGGTTTGGATAACTGCTGAAGTGTCTCAGGGGTGGAGTCTTTGAGCCAATGTGGAAAATGTTGTGTGTATGGACATAAATTCACACCACTACTTAAATATCACAGCCATTAGCTGCATTTTCAGAGCTTGTAGCTGCAGACTTATTTTCTCCGTCTGGCTTTCATGTGCTCTCAGACATGCAGGATGTATACACCCACACACAGCGTGCTCTCACCGTCTCTCCCACACAAACACAACGATGTGGTTATTTTTAGATCAAGACACATATATATTTATATAAATATATACATATATGGAGAGAGCTTTACATATGCTATATAAATAGAGTCACATCATGAGTGCACTTTGATCCAAATCTTCCCTATGACATGGCATAATCCGCAGTGGGGCTCATTAAAAACAATAACCATCCCCAACTCTCAGCCACACTCTGACAATGGAGACCTCATTCACACACACAGAAAAACACTCTGAGAATTCAATGAGAGAAATGCACTCGGGGAATATGAGCACTGACTCATTCACAAGAGTTTGAAGAATAAATTAGCCAACTTGCAGGGAGAAAAACCCAGTGAACAAAAGGGTAAGTTCTGGGCTTTCCATATTATTGTATTTGTTAATCTGATCACTTAGAATGTGTGTGTTTATATGAGAAAATAAGAAAACAGGTTACCAAAGGGCTTCCTCCTGTTCTAAATATACAGAATGTGATGCAGCTCAGTGTCTGTATGAATCATCAGAGCAGAAGAGGCGACCAGAGACCTATATTCGCCTCTAGCTCATGATAAAGTTTATGAAAATATGTGCTCCGCCTCCTGATCCTGGATCAGTACATCTGATTTTTTTCAGTGTAAATGAGCTCACACACTGCTGAAGCAGGAAAATGAATCATTTAATCTCTCATATGTCTCATTAAACGGGTACAATTATCACTGCGGCTGCTCCAATACATCACTCTTTGGACATCTGCCACTCTTTTCTTTCAAATCACAGAGCAGTGTCTGAGGCAGGGCTGGAAGAACAAATCAAGGGTAATGAAAATTTACCTCAGCCAAGTCTGAATATGAAACATAGCAATGTGAAATATGCCCTCTTTTCCCGGGGAGCATATAGGATGTCATGAAATATTTAACTGAGTTTAAAATTGCATGCTCCTTAAGGGAACGTGTGAGTAATTTTTATGTGCTGGGAAACTGTTAAAGCCATATGAAATAGGATGCATTGCTAGAGATGAAGGAGGTAAAAGGTGGTCACACACGCAAAAAAGTGTTACAGGAAAGATTGTGTCCATGAGGCCTGAGAGGTTATGTAACTTTTCCCTGTTCAGGTTTCATCCAGTCTTGCCCACGGCACAGGTAAGTTTGCACCAAGACGGTGATACACTGTTTGCAAATACCGACATTATGAGTCTCAGCATGCATTAGGAACTTTTCTGCAAAGAGAGCAACTGTTTATATTAGAGATCGAGCCAAAAGAGGGCAACTCGGGAGGATTTAGCACCACGGACAGAGCCTGTGAGCGTATATACAAAACAAAAACAACTAAAAACTCAAAACACTTGATATGTTACAAAAGAAGGAGCAATAACAGAAAGTGGAGCACAGCTGCTTACCAAATTTTCTGTCGGCGAGGGCAGGTGAGGAGCAAAGGCTGACAGCCAATGCAGCGAAGAGGACGGGACACCAGACTGAATCCATACCGCTCCTGCCTATACTCCAATCCATCGCTCACCTCCGCTAAAACAGCATGTTGTTTAACGCCAAACTCAAAGTGTCGGCCGCTTGCAGGAGACTCACAGAGAGAGCATGTCGGAGGGCTCAGATAATAATAATAACAATACGGAAAAAACGGGTAGAAACTGGAGCCGAAGTGGCTAAACGGCAACACAATACAGGCGTTGTTTCAGCACCACAAACAGCAACCAGCCTCACGGAGGAGCCCCTCCTAAGTTTCTGACGTCAAACACACACATGGTGAGGAGGGATGATGCGTGCAGCATGCAACCGAGCCGGGAGGGGTGCATGGATGGAAAGGAGAGGGGAGATGTGAATGATCACTGCCCGAAAGCCTTGCAGCCAACATACAGAAACCGGGGTGGGGGGTGAAAACCCCCACATCTTCAGATTGATTGATAGGACTGATTAAGATGACTGAGGGGAAACAAATGACGCGCACTGCAGGGGAGTTACAGAAATACTGCACATGAATATCAATGAATGAGCTGCTACTACATTTCTAGAGTACAGGTGCATTAAAATAATACAATATAAATTTATTATTTATAATAAAATAAATAAATACAGGGCTAATATTAACAAAATATATATACATATATTTCATTTTATTTAATTTACTTAAATTTTTTAGCTTTAAACTTTTATATAGTACATTTTTTAATGTCTCCATTTGTGTTCATCATAGCTGTATTCCTGATTTTCTAAAGCAACCCGGTAGAAACTAAATTCTATAAAACCTAAAGTGGATTAAGTATTACAATCTACTACGTTCATTTTAACCCTGGAATTTAGATGAACTGGTGACATCAACAAAATATGGCAAAAGCATATAGTTTGTTCCTTTGTGTTGGACAAAAGATGAAGCGGTGAATCTAGACTAGAAGCTTTGCTGTCTGCAGTGTTAACAAATATTTAAGAAGCGTATGTAAAGTCTGAAAATGGAAGCGGTTCCCTCTTTGAGAATGAAAGGAAGTGAGAGGATGATTTACGGCTTGTTTTCTCTGTTATTACTCTGCAAAGCGCTGCACGGGCAAGAAAACATCTGAGGAGGAAATAAACATCAAATTTAGGCTGATTGATACAGTTAGTTTTATTCTGATTAGCAGCAAACTGCAAGCTGACAGAGCAGCAGACACATGATGAAGATATGCATTTCAAATTGTTTTCAAAAAATATATGACGAGTGAAAGCTTAAAAGAAAAGTCCCACCATATTTCTTAAGTCAAGTTCTCAATCTGTATTTGTTAACATAAATATAGAAAGTTTGAGACAGGAACTGAGTATTGTATGCCATCAAGAAATAAATACAATGCAGGAGTTTAGCGAGCCTTGGAAAACTTTGTATTCCTGGTATTAATCCAAACCCTTAAAACAAAAGTGGGAAAATCGACCTTCAGGAAAGCAGACCAAACAAAACAAAATAAAGCAGAAAATACATCACATAGAAACGTTTGTCTTTTAAAGTTGGAACTCATAAATGCAGAATCTCATTCAAAGTCGTCACAGAAGATTCATAAATAACCCTGTTGAGAGAAAAAAAAGATGATTAGCCAAATGTAGTTATTATTATTCACAAGTTCTCAAAACAAAATCATCAGATTTCCTCCTCGCTTACCTCTGGACGTCTGTGCTGTCTGCAAAGGTGACTGCATGTTTGTAAAGCTGCTGCTGGACGGACACAGCTGCGCTCTTCAAGCCCGCTTTAGACTGTCCGGCTAACAGGCAGCAAGTGAAATGTGTCGTTAGGACCAGAGGGAAAAATATTCAGTTTTGAAGTTTTACGCTTTTTGGTAGTGGAAGCTCACCGTGTTTGATGACCGCCAAGACGTGCAGGACGGCTGCGAGTTCAACGGGATTGCCGATGGCCTCGGAATCCACAGATGTGCAGACCTCTGCCAGAAATGCCCTAAATAAAGGAACAGCAAACCATTAGACTCTGGAATACTCATTCATGGAAGTTAATGAAAAGAAACTTTCAATACTGACCTGGTAACAGGCTGTGACTTGAGGAGGACAGATAGTAAGATCCTGGACAAAGGAGGCATGTCGTCCATTGACTCTGGGATGATCACCGCCTCAGGATGCTCAATCTTTAAAAAACACGAACACAGCTGCTCGTTAATATTTCCAAAATGTCCCACATCCGTCGCAGAAAATGCAGGATAACTGTTTATAATCTGAGTGCTTCCATTGTGCTGCTCTGTCAGCTCCCACCTTCTGAAGCAAATGTCTCTTCTCCACAACGATAACAGCAAATAAAGTAGAGAAGACCCCGCTGAGAGGTGCTCGGTCCCAGAGTTGGGCCACCTGAAGGAAGTCCGTCAGACCGGGAACAGCTGACTGACAGAGCTGCATCAGAGCAGGAAGAGAACATTTCATGGAGGTTAAAGCTCAGTTACCGGAACAGCCAGGTCCATCAGAGACTTTAATAAATAAAAATTTTTAAAAACCTGCTTTCCTTCCTCTGGATCCTTCCTAAGGCGACGGGCCAAGAGCTCTATAATCTTCTGGAAAATGTTAGACACCACACCTAAAATAACAGTGGTTGGATCCTCCTGATCCTCTTCAGGCTCCTTGCTGTCCTCAGGTGCATAGCTGTTTGCCACCTCCTTCAAAATTGGCAACACTGCAGGGATGCACAGGTAGCCCGCTTCTGAAAACACAAAGCAGAGTTAATTTAATTGCCAAATCTTCAATTTTCATCAGTTTTCTCAACAACCTTTTTCTTCTGACAAAAAAGATTGATAACAAAAAAAAAAAAGAATGCACTATTAAGTTGTGTAGACCTGCTCCGGGGAAAACAGTGCAACGCTTTACCTCCCACTCTCCTCGTTGGGAGGAAGAGAAGAGTAGACATGTGGATACATTTTGCATTTGATCTCATTAAAAATAAGATGCTTTGTAAACCATGTGAAGAAACTCTCTACTTTGGGTGAAGTAGGCTATTTTCAGAAAAACAAAAGTCCTGGCATTTCTCGGCGTACCTACAGACATGCAGACCATCTGAAACGCTCACCTGAGAGGAGGATGAGCGAGCACAGGTGTAGGATTTGACCCTTGAATGTCTCATCGCCCAAACCCACGAGCAAAACGTCACGGCATACTGTCAGGAAGCTCTGTGAAGAAAACAAAACAAAAACAACAAATACGGATTACACCCACTCTACATGTTAGCATAATGCTAATTTTTATGTCCAACACAAGCAGGTTTATTTTCAACACTCAAAGTGACAGGCTAATAATAAAAAAATGGAAAGAAACAAATAATGCTTAAATGAGATAATAAAGCTATTTCACCAAGGCAGTATTAACCGGAGGAGGCATGTACAGAGTGTGTGTGGACTGAGGCAGAACAATCAATGAAGTCTAAATTTACCAAGCAGAACAGAAAGTCCTGGGAGCAGGAGGAAAAAAGGCTACACAAAAACCTAATGTTCTGGATAACAACATAAAATGAGTGAGTTAACAATCGAAAGTGGCAATTTATGCACGAGGAGATGTGATTTCAGAGAAATCTTTTGCTTGGATTGACTTTACTCGTCACGTAACCACAACCGTTCGTCACAAACCGACCTCGCATCTGAATTTATCTTTGCTCTTCTTTGAAATAGCTAATAGGTATTTCTTTTAACACACAGGCTGATGACCCATCATGTGAGCCTAAATCACACATTTGTGCTGAATTGGAAACCAGAGCCTCGTCTCCTTTTAACGGAAACCGCACACATTTTCCTTGTTTGACCAAATTAAATGCCTCGATATTTTCAAACCCCTGCTTAAAAAAAAAGAAAAAAAACGTAGCTCTTGATATAAACACATGGTTACAAAATGAACTGTGGAGCTCACCTCGGATATCTCTGCAGCCAGCGGCTGTGGCTGAGATTTCTCAGAGTCCTCGCTGTCATCGTCGCTACGTTTCGCTAGAAAGGGCAGCACCCTGTCGGCTACCCACGCAGCCACATGCTCCAGAGAGAGCAGGTAGTCACGGCCATCTGACAGCTGAAAGAGAGAGAAAAGGTTTCATTTTATTTCTTTTTTTAAATTCTTTTTTCACAATTAACAAGAGGGGGGGCAAGGGAATAAAAAAAAAAATCAACCCATGGCCACATTTAGCTCACAAATCTAATGGTGTTTTCACACCTGCGCCTTTTAAATCAAACTCTGGCTCCTTTTCCCCTTTGGCGTAGGTCATTCCTGCGGATGCGAACACGGTAATTACACTCAGGTGTAGACTAAAACACCTGAGCTGAGACCGTTTGAAGGAGTTAGTCTCAGTCCAGCTCCTAACAAACTCCAGAGCAGTTTGTGAGAACTTGATCCAACATAACAACAAAATATCTGCTGCAAATCTGAGCTAAAAGCCTTCCCATGAAGCTTTGCATTCTGGGATGCGACGGCAAACTACAGATGTGTTACTACAGTCCAGTAGTACAGTGTTGCCTGAAATATTAACTATTAAGGTTGAGAGTCTAATGACAGAAAGTGCTATAAGCCTCACGTTATGTTGCAGATGTGCGCCGAGGCGGCCGTGGTGCTTGAAGGCGTTCAGTGCCGTGTCCACGCTGGCATGTTTGGGGTCTTCTGTGGTGGAGCTGAGATGACTGTAGAGCACCAACTATGGAGACAAAAATGACAGAAAACACACTTCTTATGGAGGAACCGTTCACGCTTCTCTGTCATTCGGTTCAAATATCGTACTGAATGACATCCATAATACCTTCCAGTTCCCCAGAACTGTATGCAGCTGCTTCAGTGGTTTCGCACCGAGAGCCAGGACCTTCTCACGTGTTGAAGTGTGGCTGAAAAGGTGCTCCAGGTAAGCCAGCGCCAGGTCGGGTTTGGCCTCCACCGTCTCCATGATGCATACCTTTCGACCACTGGTTGCCTTGTCCTTAAGATGACCACAAAAAAAGAGAATTTTTTTTTTAAAAGAATAGAAAATCTAACTTTTTTTTTCATGAAAACAAAAATTATATTCAGAACTAATTTCATTTTACTTTTGAGTGCCAATTTCTACAATAGTACAGAGAGAACCCAACAATGCTGTGAGCAAAGATTTGGTGACAGCGGGGAGGAAGAACACTCTTGTCAGAAAGTTAAATCGTGGAAGAACAGCCATCTGTCATGAAAGGAAAGAAAAGACGAAAGAAGAGGAGCAC